TTCTTTTGTTGAAGGAAAAAAGCAAGGGCATTCCTGGGCAAGAAATAAAAGGAAATGGCCGAGAAACATACAGCAAAAAGGTAAGCAGGCAAAGTGAGTAGTCACACCTTCAGAGTTTATTAAGGCCCTGCTGCTGTATCCCTGCCGGCCACAGTCTCCTGAGGGCTGTGGGAGTTTTGCAGCTACCATGTCAGGTAGGATACAGGCTAAGATGCTCTAACAAAGACACCTGAAAATGCACTGGCTGCAACAAAGTGGCTTCTTTCTCATACACATCATCACCCAAAGCTAATTGATCCGGGGCTAATAGGGAGACACTGCCATCCTCACGACGTGGCTTCTTTACTGGGTCAAAAATTGTTATTAACATAGAAAGATGTTCCAAAGAAGGCTAAATGGAGACAACAGACTGCATGTGTGTGTGTGTGCATGTGGTAAAAAATACATATAAACATGTATTTGTGCAAATATGTTTTTATATATGTATATAGAGAAACTTAGATACAGATATATAGACAAATCAATGGCAGTTCATTCATAAAAATATATGCAGTGGGTATATTTGGTCATTGGTGATGTTTCTATTTTTATTTGTGTTTAATAAATGTAAATGTACATATTAAAAATAATAAACACTTCCAACTTTTGTAATTAAAAAGTATTATTTAAAGAGAAAAGCTTAGAAGGTTTTTTGAACAAGTTAATTGTGGCAATTTATACACACACACACACACACACACGCAGACATATATATCACTTCTAATCAGACTCCTGACATTTATTTTGTTTAGTAGCGATTTAAGGAATTCTTTTCTCTGAAATAATGAGGGTGTGACCTCATTTTCTATATTAGTGAAAATTCTGAATCAGTAAATCTATATAATAAGATTTCAGAATCTAATTAAAAATTTTCAGTTTTTACCAATCTGCATATCTTATGTTTTTGCCAATTTATATGGCTTCCCTGTTAATGAATTTGTACAATTTCTTTTGGGGAAAGAGGAAGTAGTTTGCCTGGGACTTTCCCAGTTTTGCCACTGAATATTCTGCATCCTGGTTTCCCCATAGTTCTGAGCAGTTGGTCACCCTTTTTGGCACTTAGTGAATTGTTCCCAATTGTTGAGATGTCTATTAAAAATCTGAGAAACCGCCCTGGCTGGTTTGGCTCAGCGGTTAGAGCATCCGCCTGCGGTCCGGAGAGACCCGGGTTTGGTTCCCGCTAAGGGCATGTACCTCGGTTGCAGTTTGTCCCCGGCCCTGGTTGGTCGTGCGGGTGGCAGCCACTCGATGTGTCCCTTTCACATCGGTGTTTCCCTCTCTCTTCCTCTCTCTCCTTCCCACTCTATCTGTACAAAAAATGGAAAAATGTCCTCGGATGAGGATCAAAAAAAAAAAAAAATCTGAGAAACCAAGAAGTTTAAAATTCTGTCACTCATACTTTTAGAGGTTAGTTAATACCAACCATGACAAGTTTTAGAAAATAATCTTGTTATATTCTGATGGCCACCATATTTATTAGGATTGTGATGATGTTTCAGTGTTATTAAATGGGTATTAAACCTGGGGGGTACAAAAATAGTTAAATCCTGCCTTCCGTAGCCAAACTATTGTGAGAATAAAACATAATAGTGTAAGAGAAATATCTGTAACAAAAATAAATTAATAAAAATTAGAAGAAAAAATAGAAATTAAAAACAAAACAAAAACATAATAGTGCTAGGTTATGAATTAGCTGGTTTTAAACTCCACATCTCCTCTGGACCTCAGGCCAATGCTCTAACCGCTGAGCAAAACTGGCCGGGGCTCCACATCTCCTTATACCACAAGTTCCATGGGCTAGAGTGGACTTCAATGTAGTTTCTTTTATTTATTTTTTAAAAATATTTTTCTTTATTGATTTTAGAGGGAGAAGGAGAGAGAGAGAGATAGAAACATTGATGAGAGAGAACATCAATTAGCCGCCTCCTGCATGCCCCCCACTGGGGATCGGGCCCACAACATGGACATGTGCCCTGACCAGGAATCAAACCGGCACCTCTTGGTGCATGGGTCAATGCTCAACCTCTGAGCCACACTGGCCGGGCTATTTTTCCCTAAAAATGTTAGGCCTGACAGGTTTGACGAAAGCTAAATCCAGCACATCCACCAGTCTTAGGAAAGACGTAACCAGAGACACACAGAAAGAACTCTGCATTTGTTGGATTGTCCGAGGTTGTGATTGGAGCTTAATGCCGAGCCTGACTGAAATAGGGGAGGCAAGGATAACATGTCCGGATTTCCTCCCACTGGGCTGTAAACATGGCCTTTCAGAAGAGGAGGGAGAGCCAGACATGTCCTGGCCTCCCAGAGTCCCTCACCACTTGGCATCTTGGGTGAAAGAGGAGCTAAGGAGAGCCTCTCAGAGAGCCATGCGTGGGTGGATGACCTTCTATTGCCTGATGGCCCACCTTTCAGAAGGACGAAGAGAGAGAGAAAATGCCTCTTCAAAAACCACATTTCCTCCTTTTTAGCAGTTCTCCTTTGCCCGTGGCTATCAACATCCAAGTCTTCCACTTTCTTCCACAAGCTTATCACTATGCATAGACATCTTATTTGAGTTGCTATTATCTTGGTTATGTAATAATAAGGTGACAGTTAGCCAGTCTGCAGCTTATTTGATCTTGTAATAAAGTCTAATTATTAATATTTGTCCCATGGGACCATTTTGATCTTGAGGAGATAAAAACCCTCAATAACTGTTTAATATAAAGACTAGAAAGTGGGGTTATTTTACCAAGCACTAGGTCCATTTGGGTGTTGATTGAAGGAAATATCCCTTAGACTTTGCTGGTCTAATATTCTCAATGTGCTTAGAGTTTACTCTACTTAGGACAGGGTATCCTGGATCTATTTCTTCTTGGAGTCCACGTAACTTCACCCAGCACCACCAGATGGTGGTTGTTGCATGGTGGACATTGAACACAGAGAGAAAGAAATGAATTTGTCTTCCTGCCCTAAAAAATAAAGCACATTTGAAAGACAGCAGACAGTGAGTGCACATTCATCGCCAACTAACTTACAGATAGAGGAGCATTCTCTGCTGCAACATCGATCAAGCTAATCTTTAGTTACTATTTGAAACTAAGGCTTTGGAAGACTCTGTTCTACCCACTTCTATTGATAGTTCTGATAGTTTCTTAGGTTATATTATCTTTGTTCAAACCAAGGTGGACAAAGCCCTTGGTCACATTTACTTCACTTTTACATCACTTTCTGCACAAATAACTCTGTTCAAGGTCATTTACATCCTGTGCTTTTCCCTGTAAGCCCACCATAGGGTTTTCCTTAAGGCACAGAATTTCTATTTTTTTTTTTTTTCTATCTCTCTACCAAAAAAATTCCTAAATATCTTCCCTTAATTTCGCACTTTTTGCCTCAATTTTCTCAGAATATATTTGTTGGAAAGACTAAAAAAATTAGTAGATGTCCAATTGGCATCTATTAAACACCTAACACGTGGCTGCTAGAGATATAAGTGACATGCTGATTTCAGTTGTTTGTTTGACTGATATGGGTTATGAGAAATAAAGCAGAAGATGAGCCTAAGGTTAACCACTTAATTCTGGGTAGTTTAAAGCCTAGGGGTTATATATTTTTCTTTACGCTTTGTTTGGGGAAGTTAGAGTTAAATGGAAATTTTGAAAAGCACTAATATCTGCAAAGAAACTGCATGTCTGAAACTGTGCTTATAGCTTTCCTTTTATGTCAGGGAAAAAGAGAGGCAGACCTAGAATGTACTCAAGTTGTAATGGCAGAGTCCTAAGGAAGAGAGTCCAGACAAGAGGCAGCGGAAGAAAAGGTAACGTATTTTCAATAGCTAAACATCTGGTTGCTTGTGCTCTAGTTTGTGTTTTTAGTAATAAAGCCATTTACCTAATTGTGCCATATAGCTTTACCAGCTGTTGAAAAATTTATATGATGTGGTCCAGGGACAAAAAGAAAATTCCACACACCAGTTACCTGGTGACAGACCTAAACCAGACCCCAGGGGCCCCGGGTCCACTGTAGTGCTGCTGTCTCCACTGATAACTTACAAGCTGGACATAGTCTGTTGCCATATAAAGGGTATATCTAACCCACAAATTAGTTAGCTGACTCTCCTGTTATACAGAGAGTCACAGGTTGCATACCACAGGTGGCCCAGAGGGGTGGTCAGAAGTCTGTGTCTTCTTTCTTTTGACTGTCTAAACTTGTGCTAGTTACTTGACACTTTGCCTCCGTTTCCTCATCTGTAAAGCAAGAGAGTGAATTAGGCAACCATTCTTGAGTCTGTGAGAGTTCTAATAATCTACCTATATCCAAATTGGGACATGGACAGCTACCCCCTCCCATCAAGGCTCTACAATGTTGACTGAAAAGGCAAGATCAGCTGCACATCCTTCTTGAGTTAGTTCATTGGAAGACCTTTCGTTCTTCTGTGGAATCAGCTCTCTAGAGCCCCCACTCCCACCCCCATACAATTTGCAGATGGTTCAAGAGTTTCCTGAGCTCCTCTTTTATCTCTGGGGAGAGCTGATGGGGAGGGGGGATGAGGCGAAGCAGAGAACACAAGTAGCAGGCAGACACCATCTCCGTTAGGTTACCCCACCATTATCCTCTTGCTCACTGCGTTGGAGCTCAAACTGGGAGCCACATGCACAGTCTCTAACTTTGTCTCCAGCTACCTGACTGCAGGGAAATAGCAGAGCTGGGGAGCTTCCTGCAGCACATGACAGCAGCCCTGTGTTTCCTTGTCATGTAAGAAGCTGGGGGAGGGGGTGACTGGATTGGAAGTTAAGACATTTTTACTGAAGCCTGATTTTTCTGATGGTGTGGGGTTTGAGGGTAGAGGTGGACAATCTGTGGTTATGTATCAGAAATGCCACTTGGAAGACAGACTTTGACTCCAGAGATTTGTCAAGTTTCCCAAGTACCCCTATGTCTTTATAGGAACAAACCCAACATGGGAAGAGGGGTACATGTACAATTGTGAAATGATGCAGAATGAAGAAATCTTCTGTTTCAGGGCGAAGAAAGCACAGAGGTGAAAATGTGGATTTTTACTCTGACATACTCCCTGTGACCTGTAGGGAAATGAAAGGGATGCTGTATAAGAAGAAATTGAAACAAGGTGGGTTTCATGGTCTAATTTGCATCTCTTACGGGAAGGAATGATGAGAAGTCATAAAATCACCCATGGGAATTGCCCATCAATCGGGTAATTGAGGCCCCACTGTGGCTTGAGAGAAGAAGAAAAGGATCCCAAAGATGGCATTTTCACACGTTAAGAAACTGTACATATTAGATGCTCACTCCCACATGGCAGTGACCATGGACATACCCAAAGAACCAAAGAGAAGTGAATTAGAAATAAAAGGGAAGAGGCCCCCGGCCTCCATCTTCATAGCCTTTCTCCGTCTGGGTCATCATAACCAGGACAGGGTGTTTCATGTGGTGAGAAGATCACAGAATTGAGCATCAGAAAACCTCAGCTCTGGCCTCGGCTGTGCCAAGGGTGCCCGATTCGTCTGAGTACAGAAGAGGAACTGCTTGGCCCTGAAATGCCTCGTCTAAAAAAGCGATGATCTGTCTCATGGTGTAGCTGTAAGGAATTAATTCACATAACGTGTACTATTTAAACAGCTTTCCTGATAAAATTCGCAAATCATACAACTCACCACTTAGAGTATATCATTCATCGTTGAGTTTTTTTGGTATATTCACAGGATTGTGAATTTACAATCTAATTTTAGAACATATTTTGTCCTCCACTAAAGGCAAGCCCATGTCTCTCAGTAATCAATGACTATTCCCACCTCACCTCACTGGCTAGGCCTAAGCAACCACTAACCTATTTTCTGTAAAGGGCTATTCTAGGTATTCCATATAAACGGAGTCATACAATATGAGTCCTTTTATGACTGATTCTTTCACTCAGCATGATGTCTTCAAGGTTCATCCATGTAGTCGCATATATTAGTACTTTATTCCTTTTTATTGTCAAATAATATAATATTTCATGATATGATTACATCTTTTTTTTTTTTATCCCTTCATCAGTTTTTGTTATTTCCACTTTTGGGGACTATGAATGCTGCTGTTTTGAAAATTTGTGTGCGAGTTTTCATATGAACACATGTTAATTCTTTTGGATATATACCCAGGAGAGAGATCGCTGGTTCATATGGTAATTTTATGTTTAACCTATTGAGAAAACATCAAAATATTTTCCACAGTGGCTGCACTATTTTATATTCCTACCAACAAGGTACGAGGGCTCCAATTTCTCTCTCTCCTTGCCAAACTTGTAATTTCTGATGCATTAAATTATGGCCCTACTAGTGGGTGTGAAGTGATATCTCATTATGGTTTTGATTTGTGTTTCTCTGATGACTAAGAATATTTAACATATGATTATCATTTTTATATAACTTAAATTTTCCACTGGATACATTTCACAGTTTTTATTATCGGATATCCATGAACTCAGGGATGAAGAAAAATCACCGCTCCACAATGCCGTTCAGCTGCATGAAACATGTCATGACAAAGGGCACAGATGTTTCTGTGGTGCCATTCTGAGCAGCAGAGCCTCACCTGAGAGCTCAGTCCCACTTGAGTTTCTGCCTCCACATCGCCCCAGGCCCCCGGAGGGTCTGGCCTGTTCTCTCTCCCCAGAATTCAATAGCCAACTGAAATCCTCTCGCTGTTCAGAATGAAAGGGTTCTTGGAGGATTCCTTGTAGGTGATTTTGGAATACCTTTATAATGTGGAGTTTGATGGTACAGAGGTCGAATAAATGTGTGCATACAGCAGGCAATCTTGAAGGGGACTTATAGGCTGGGTTTGGGGATTCTGAAGTCTGAGAGGGGAGGCCAGACTCTCCAGCTAGTGACCCTGAGCCCAGTTTGGGTGACTCCTAGTGTGGTGGGAAGGCCGAGGATCAACCTACCCCGTCTCACAGGGTCCATCAGGAAGTGCATACGGAGTGAGGCTGGAGACTGGCTCACCCCCAGGGAGTTTGAAGTCCAAGGCGGCCGTGGCTGCTGGAAGAGCTGGAAGATGAGCCTGCGTTGCGGTGGGAGAACCCTGAGATGGCTGATGGAGGTATTTTCCTGGTTGCGCTCTAAGATAGGTCACTTTTTGTTCCTCAAGTATATGTTGAGTTATGGCTAAAGTCCCAAGGCCTCTGACTATCCTTTTCCCAGAGAAAAGTACCCCACCCTTACAACGCAGTACAAGACAGCACACTGATGTTGTCAAAGAGCTCTGTGGGGTAGGCGGAGGGGCCTGGAGGAGGAAGAGGTCATTCTGACTCAGGTGCCTGAAAGAAAGAAGACAGTTTACAGTCAGACAAGCGGGCAGAGGGCAGAAGGCACCCCAGAGAAAGAACAGTGTGAACACCATGGCCATGACTGACGTGGCTCCATGGGTTGAAATGGACGGATTGCATGGGATAGGATGGCATAATCCATCAATTGGGGTTGTTTGTGGAAGGATTTAGTGCCAGGCTAATGAGTTTAAACTCATAGCATAGATAAAGCAGAACCAAGAGTCTCCTGAGGTGTGAAATGACATACTTAAAACAGCATTTCAGGCAACATGGGGCCTGGAAATGACTTTGCTGTCTTTCTGCTCAATAAGCCTTTAGTCAACCCCCATGTTCAGCTCCAGTGTCACCCTCTCTGAATATTCCCTGACTGACCTGCCTCGTCATCTTTTCCCTGGGCCCCCGGACCTCATTATTAAGTCCCTTCTCACAGTGGTTTATACTTATCCTTCCATGTGACCCCTTGTGTTCTCTAGACCGCTCTAAGGTTTGCACATCTTTCTGTGCCCCACATTGTCCAGAGTGTCTGACCCCCTGTAGGTGTGGGATACATGTGTTGTTTCAGTAGTCCTGGTGTAAGGACATAAGTTTGAGTGGCACTTGTGGGAACAGAAAGGAGGTGGGAGGTGTCAAAGAGATTGTGAAGGAAAACCTCTTAAAACTTAGGGGGGGAAAGCAGAACAAGGAAAAAGGTTCTAAAGGTGATTTTCTGGGCAGCACTGATGAATTCTCGAGTAAGTACAGGTGAGGGGAGGGCGACCTCACCGTGATTTGAGCTGACAGTGGGACATCAAGTAGAAATATTTGGAAGGAGGTTGGAATGCCAGACTCACAAACCAGAAGTGCAGGCTAACCATATACATGGATCTTCTTATTTTTCAGAATGGATATCTATGTAATCCTCCAAGAATATATGGAAGGAGAAAAAAGGTAATGATTATATAACTTTCTACAAGTTTTCACCGCATAACTGATTTTACATATGTAGTATGTTCTTTGATGGTTTCTCAGTTGGATAATTATAATTAAGTATCATTTTTTTGCATGTGCCTTCAGAGTTGCTACTTTGAACATTATGTTTTATGCAAGATCTTTGAATAGCAACCACTTGAGATAGAGAAGATAAGGTGGTATCAAAATAGATCTCATAGATAAATTTTATCTATAGGTGCAGATATTTTAAGGCTGTCAAAGTTGTAAAAGCAATCATGATTATGGAATACATAAAAGCACTTCATAAAATCACAGGGTCATCTTCATCTCAAGCCTAGATTTTTAAAAATTGGATTACTATTTTTCAAATGTATTGAACTCTGATGGAACAAAAGTTTGCTCACCATCATCCATGTCTATCTTGAGACATTCATGAAACCATGCACCATTTCAGGAGATAAGCAACCAAAAGCATGTTTCTTTTCTGATCCTTTACATCCTCTTCCACCTTCCAACAAAATGTGCACTGAGATACACAGAATTCTTTTTCAAGAGGGAATTATTTGCTCTTCATGGAGATAGTGCTTTTGGAGAGAAAGCTTTTGGGAGGTACATGTGTATAGTAGGGTCTGACATGGAAATTTGTTTACTTTGATGCTTTCCCTTGGCTCCAGCAGAAGAGCTGGGCAGACCTCATTTCTGTCTGTGAAACCGATTTCTCCCTCTATGATAGAATGAATGCAATGGAAGCTACAAACAAATACAAAGTATGCAGTGTAGATTCAGGACAAAGTGATGGCTTTTCCAAGACTGAGTGTGAATGAGAACTTAAAGTAGAAGGGGAGGAAAGAAATGCCATTTTTTACATACATCAGGTAGAAGTGGCCATTCACGACATTGTCGGAATCCTAAGATAGATCACACGTAGCTGGCCAATGAGACTCCCATCTTTCACTGGGGACGTGAGGTCCAATTATCTGATTGTCTGAATGGCTTAAATTGTCCGTCTTTTTATTCACTGAGTTTTCTAATTGGAAACTAGTATTAGACTTGTTTAGTGAGTACTTTAAAGACCAGCATCTGTACCATTCCTCAAGTGTCGAGATCTACTCAATTAGAATACCTGGCAACTTCCAAACACTAGGGTCTACCCTCATTTATGAGTCAAACACTTTTCAGCAACAAGCTGCAGCTGCCTCTTTATTCTGTGTCTCCTTGATGAAGAACAGAACAAATCTCAGGACCCATAACTACCTCTGAGATTCTCTTGTCTCTCAGAACCTCTCTTGCTAATGGAGCTTCTGGAAACATCAGCGTCACTCTCAGCACCACATACAGCTTACTGGCTCCTGAAGAGGGCCACTAATATCTTTTGATGACAGTATTTTGTGAAATAATATACTCCTCAAGAACAATCATTTATTGCATGCTACTGTTTGCCTAGGAGTTAGCGTGTAATCTCTTTTCCTAAGTGAAACACTCATTCATTCACTCGCTCAACATAAAATTGTCAAATGTGTACTAAATGCTCAATGTCCATTAAAGAAGATTCAAACAATATCCTTGACCTCAAGGACTGTTTCAACTTCATTGTCCAATATGGAAGGATAACTAATGGGTAGGGCTGGAGGAATCTAGGCCACACAAAGAGGTGGGAGTGAATGGCCACCTCTCAGGTGATTGTCCTGTAGGTCGCATTTGTCTGTAACCTCTCTACCCTGGGCCGGAGATAAAGGCTGAGGCTGCCTGAATACAGAAGGGAAGAACATCAAGTCATCCCACTGAATATGCACAAGCAACATAAGTCTAGTGTGTAGTAGCCAGTTACCTCTGAAATGTCACCTCGTTGACCTCTTGGGATTTGAATGGAGAGGAGAGGAGGGTGACCTTCTGGAAGAAGAGCTGCAACACTGGGATCCTTGAGCACATGTTATCTTGGAAGCTACACCCTAGAAGAGTTCAGAGGGTGGTGGAATTCTTCTCTGGCCTCTGTGGTTGCAGGAGGCTGTTGGTGATGAGTCCTCAGCTTGATTCTTCCAGAGCAGCCATTCTGCTGAGATGACACTTCCTAATAACATGCTCCTCAAGAACAACAGTTCATTGTGTGCTAATGTGTGCATACAGAAGAGTGCCTGAGGGCCTCTCAAAGTAGGGGAACCAGAGGAGTCCCCACAATTCCACCTGTGGAAACCAGGGCCAGACTCCCTACATGACTTCACAAAGGCTCACCTTAGATCCGAGAAACAGGGAATACAACTAGATTGGACCAAACAGTAGTACTTTGGCACTTTAAATTCTTCTTATAGATATGTATTCCATAAAAATATGTATAAAATAATAGATAGACCTTGGATTGAATCCCTCAAAAGATGGCTGTTTAAATAAGTGATGGGTGAATACATCACATTCAGTATTGTCACTCAATCTTTCTTTTCAGTGGAGAATCTTGAAGTCACATGCCAAGACCTTGGTTGACCCTTATGTAAGTGCCAACTCCCACCTGTAACCCCATAATAATCCTGGTCTTTTCCCTTGGTACATTATCTGTGTCATTGCTGCCTTTCCCTGAAGCATGCTCACACTCGGTTGGAACATGTCACTATGTGTGATTAGCAGAGAACAATAGATGCATCACCCACTCTAGGTAGATGGTTCTGGAGTCGGGTGTCTCAGTGTGAAAGCATCCTTTCCACTTGTTTGTTAGAAATCTTCCTGTTTCCCTATTAATATGGGAGGCAGAGGTCTCGACCACTGGGGTCTCTAGAAAAGGGGTTGACATGGAAATGGGCAGGGCTTGCCAGCAGATTAGGGGTAAGGAGCAAATTTAAGAGGGTGGCAGCATTTTAAAGGAGGCAGAAGGGAAGGGAAAGTAAATCCCAAATATTCACTCCATGGTGTAGGCAGAGCTAAGATGGTTTTATATAACAGCCAGAAGGAACAGGCCAGGCCAAGCTGGTGAATTTAAGATGTGCACCGTCCTATGAGTCCTGCAAAGAAATGTACTCAGGGCAAATGGTTTCTTTACAAAAACATCCAACCTAAAGGGAGCCATCAAGGTGCTGAGCTGGTAGCTAAGAATAAAACTATCGCCCTGGCCAGTTTGGCTCAGGGGTTGAGCATTGGCCCTCGGACCAGACAGTCCCGGGTTCAGTTCCCACTAGGGGCACGTACCACAAAAAAAAAAAAAAAAGAAGAATAACACCATCATCATTTAGCAAATCAGAGCATTTTTACTCACACTGATACTATATGGCTGTCTGCTTTAAGGTCTGCCAACGTTATGGAAGATTCTACTCTCTAAGCTAAATCATACATTGATTTCTTTCACTGGGACAAGGTGAGCACTCTAAGCAGAGTCACCTTTGTACAACTCCAGGGGGCAGTACTCCAAAGGATACAATATATTAATAATATTGATACCTGACATCTAACAGAGGAGGGACAGTCACATCGTTTTACATACACTTTATCTCCAAAGCAATTCCCCAACAAGATTTAGATCTTATCTATATCAATTTTGACCCTCAGCCAACTGAGGGAATATTCAATCTTGTCAACAGCCCTGGAATCCAGTGTTTGTATGGTTTGTTTGGGATGGATGTAGACACAGAGGACCAGGTCACACTGCCCACAGCCAAAAGAAGAGAGGGCAAGAGTACCCTCACCGCTGTTAATATCTTTCCTGGGATAGACATTACAGGCCAATTCGACATTGCTTTATAATATCCCCTGCCTTAGTATCCAGACTCTGCTCAGGCTAAATCTCAGGTTGCAACACTGGAGTCATCTAAAGACCTGGATTTTCCCCTAAAGGAAATCTTATTTAGTCAATCTGTGGCATGACCTGGACATTAGGATTATTTAAAAGTCCCCAGATGATTCTGAAACACAAGATTGCCCATGTTATGATGCAAAGAAGAATGCCAATGCCTGTGCGCCACTCAGACCAACTGATTCATAATCTCTGGTGTTGGAACCAGGGCATCTTATACACTCTCCTTGAAAGATTCTATTGTATAGCCGGACAGAGACCCAGAGAGATACATCTGTAAAGATTATATATGCAAGATTCTTAAAGATTGGTTATGTTTGCCATTTCCTTGTTCTTTTGGAGAAAGGGGTCATCACTTTTGAAGAATGATGCTGGTAATCTGTGAGTATCTGCACTGATAAGAAGAAAAATGGCCCAGGCCTCACTGCTAGTGTCGCAGTGCCCACTGGGGATGTGCATCAGGACCCCGCAGAATACTGAGTGGGAGCTCTTGGCAACATATTCCTTGGGGCTAGCACTCCCTTATATATGGTCATTTTTAATAAGAGAAGAAATGTCCAGTATCCCAATTCAGCCAACACAGTATTGTCACCCAAAAGCCCAGGAAAACACTCAAAAACAATTGTGAATTAGTATCTTTTAATCTTTTATTATTTTCCACACCAAACTTTTTTTTCATTTTATCAAATTCTCAATACATTACCCTTTTCTACTGTCCAACCAATGTAGTGTGTCTGAGGTGTAGGCAAATGGACGTAACACTACTTCAGGAGCTCGTTTGATCTGGATAAAATGATCCAGATTCCCATGAAATTATCCTCTGTTCTGTTGCCTGCGTTTCTGTGTTAGAAACACAGATCTTTCCCCCTGAACTGCAGACCACAGTTTCTTCTGTTCATAGCTCAGGTAGAAGCACATAAGTGTCCCTGCAGGTTCACACAAAGGCAATGGGTTCTAGGTTCCCACAGCACTTACCTTCAGGGTCTCACTGGGGATATGAACATTGTTCTACTTTGCAGCCGGAGAATTCAAACTTTTGTGACATCTGCCAAAATGGAGGAAAGCTCTTCTGCTGTGATACTTGTCCGAGATCCTTTCATGAGGACTGTCACCTCCCACCTGTGGAAACTGAGAGGTTTGTGAGACGCTTCCCCCTCTCTCCTACGAGGGACCGCCCTCCTCCCTGCCCATTCCCCCTGCACAATCCCCCCTTGTGCCCTGGTGGGAAAAGAGCAGGCTTGGTGGTATGAGGTCCAGCAGTATAGTCCTGGGAGTGGTTTGAAGACACTGTCAGGCTCTGGCTGGTTTGGCTCAGTGGTTAGAGTGTTGCCTTGTGGACCAAAGGGTCACGGGTTTGATTCCTGGTCAAGGGCATGTACCTGGGTTGCAGATTCAATCCCTGGCCCTGGTCAGGGTTGTGTGGACGGCAACCAATTGATGTGTCTCTCTCACATCAATGTTTCTCTCTCTCCCTCTCTTCTACTCCATCTAAAAATCGATGAAAAAATATCCTCAACTGAGGATTAACCCAAAATAAATAAATAAATAAAGACACTGTCAGCAGGAGGGTAATGTTCTGCTCTCTCCTCTGGGAGTCTGAGACTGGTGGCTGGGTCCTTTGCCTACATACCGCTACTGTCCTTTCCAGAACTTTCCCAGCATGGATTCCTATTCATGGGATAGGAAATGCCAGCTGTTTGTGTTCTGTGCTTATTTAGAAAAGACAGGAAACATGGGCATGTTCCCTTATTTTGCCCCCTTTTCTACTGGCTGATGAAGGAAGGCCTGAGGTCCTCATAGGTTAAGGCACCGTCTCCAACACTCAGGCCTGGGCTCCTTGAGCTCCAGGCAGCTCAGAGGAAAGGAGAGCCCACCATTCACCCCAACACCACTTTCCATCCATTTACCCCCTGCTGCCAGCCTCAGTGGGAGGAGGGTCATCAGGTCACACCCCAGGGGGGCTTGGAGACTGGGGAGTGTCCCCTTCACCCCCCGGCTGTGCCCACTGGTCATTCCTGGAAGGAGAACAGGCAGCCCTCGAAGGGTGGCTGTTTCTGGGCTTTGCCCTGCTCACTCACGCCCCCTCTCAGGAGCCCGTGGAGTTGCACCTTCTGCAGGATGAAGGAGACCTCAGGAAGCCAGCAGTGTCTCAGGGAACCCGAGGTCCTGGCGAGGCAGATGGGGCCTGAGGAACAGCTGGTGAGTCCGATTCCAACCCCAGGGTCTCCTTTCTGCTCACATGTGAGAAGCCAACAGTTGAGGGGTAGGGTGCCAAAGGGTGCCTGCTCTTCTGACTGCACCTCTCATCAGAACCTGTTTGCAGACAAAATGATTCAGCTCTTATGTGACTCCTTCCTAGAACAATATCTGTTTGGAGAAACTTCCAGAAGACTGGTGTGGTCATGCCCACACATGCACATGGGCTCATTCTCTCTAAGCTGTTTTCATTCACATCTTCCTTCTTTTTCAGAAATGCGAGTTCCTCCTCTTGAAAGTCTATTGTGATTCAGAGAGTTCGTTTTTTGCGAAGATTCCGTATTATTATTATGTGAGTAGCGACGACAAACCATGATTTCCGGCTGCCACGACGTTACCTGACCTTAATACAGGCTCTTGTGGGACCTGTGATCTGAAGCCCATGGGAGGGAGAGCCCGCGCTGCCATGATCTTTACCTCGTATTTCCTTGGATTTTATGGGAATAAAATCAGACGTTGAACTGTGTCAGTAATTCTCTCAATGATATTTCCCCCACCAGATGAAAGAGGCTTCTCAAAACCTAAAAGAATCCATGTGGTTGGACAAGATCAAGAAGAGACTGACTGAGCAGAGCTATCCCCAAGTGGAGGGGTTTGTGCAGGACATGCGCCTCATCTTTCAGAACCACAGGGCATCTTACAAGGTAGGTGGCTGTCCCTGTTTCCACTTCCTTTCCTTCCCTTTGAGACGCTCTGCCCTTGTTTCCTGGTGTTGGGACATTTTAGTGTCTCCTTCATCCTGTGATAAGCCTGTACAAACAAGGGTTCAGGAAGCGAGTGGGTGTTTAAGTTGAGAATTTAGGCTCACCAGGGAGAGTAACAGGATCGGGAGGTGTCCCTGCAATGGGAGGCCCCTGAGAGCCCCCCCCCCCCTCAGAAAAGGCCCATTGAGAACACTCACATCCTCCTTGCTCCAAACCCAAGGAGAAAGTTGTGTCCTAAAGCCAGACTGTCCCTCTTCTCTCTCCCCAAATATACTCCATCAGACCTCTCAGAAAGCTCAAGCCCCAGAGTCCTTTACATGTGAACGAACCACACGGTCCACAGGGCTCACCAGGAAGAATAGGAGACACGACATGAAAGGAAGATCGCTGATTGTACTTAGACGTCTGTGATATTTGATTGTTACAAAGAACAATTGTCACTAAATAATTTGTCACTGAAATAAACAATCTAAACCAGTAAGTGAGAGTCCCCACATGCGGTCATGACGTCCCATTTCTGTCCAATTCCCAAGCATGAACTGAGCACTAGGAAGCAGAAGCTACTCTTAGCCACGTGAGTGTTTTATCTCACACTGGCTAATGTGACAGGTGTTTACAGAAGTTATTAAGGAATGAAATGTTTCTAAACACTGATAATGAGTGGCACTGCTCTTGTTATTTACCTTTTTCCAGTACAATAGCTTTGGCCAAATGGGACTTAGACTGGAGGCGGAATTTGAGAAGAATTTCAAGGAAGTGTTCGCGATTCGGGAAGCAAATGAGAGTGAGCAGTTCACTGACGCAGTGAAAGCTGCTGGGACCCTGGAAAACCCTCTGTTGGCGCCAACAGCTCCCCCTGTAGGTGCCGTGAGGCTTGACTCCCAGAGCGGTATTGCGTTGACCCAATAAACGGAGCCAGTTATGCATGGAGGTGGCTGTGTTATCTGTGGAAGTGGGGTTCTTGGGGTGCCCTGAGGTAAAGAATTTCCTGAGGTCCTCCTGGGAGAATGATGTAAAATGAAGGGTGTTACTCTGTGGAATCTAATGAACAAAATAAACTGATGAATAAAATAGAACCAGAGCATTACAAATATGGAACAGACTGACAAATCTCAGAGGGAATGGGGGATGGGAGGCAGGAAGAGATTAACCAAAGAATTTATATGCATATATGCATTGCCTGTGGACACAGACTATAGGGTGGTGAAGGCCTGGGAACCCAGTGCAGAGTGATGGGGGAAAGGAGAGGGGGGTATCTGTAATACTCTCAACAATAAAAATAAAATTAGTTAATTAATTAATTTAAATAAGGGCATTCCACTCCAAGTTTCCATCTTGTCCATGTCACCATTGAAGAAATCCAATCTTGTCTTCAGCAGGGCCAGAATCAAGGTCACTGTCCATAATTTCTGTTCCATATTAAGGTACAGTTCAGTCCAGCATCTGGCTTACTTAGTTTGTATTCCCAGCTGCAGTCCACTGCATGCGAGGTCTGCATGGCCCATGGCTGCTTAAAGCCGAATGCTACGGAGAGAGAACAGGTGAGCATGTGGGCAAGTGAGGGTCACGGAGCGAGAGAGAGAGAGAGAGCCAGAGTAAACAAGAGAGAGGGAACTCTTTGGGGATTTTACCCTTCCTGGAGTTTGTACCCTTCATTGACTCCACCCTTCTATTCAATGATCTTTTTTCCAGGCTAAACTGACAGGCAAGCACCTTCCCTAGTTATCCTGACTTCACTGCACATGTGTCCATCTCCCCCTTTGTTCATTCCCTTCCCCCAGTGATCTGCAGGGAATGGACTGGTGGTTTTTTTGGGCGCGTGAAACTGTAGCTTCCTGGTGAAGCTGCCCGGATGACCATGCTTATTAATCTCAGGCTTCTCCTTTGCTCTCCTCCTATTGTTAATGTAATAAACTAGCTAACTACAACTATAATAGTTACATCTCCTTGGCATTGGGTATAGCTTCAAAATGGAGCCAATGAGTGGCATGATTCATGCTCCCCACTGGGGTCAGGCTGGAGCTAGTCCGAGCTGTGGCCACATACTTGCTGATCTTTCCCACCAGGCATCCTGCTTCCCTACCACTCCTCCACCTGAGACATTTATCACAACAAATCGTCCACGTTAAGGACTTCATCTCAGGCTTTGCTTCAAGGGAACACAACCTAAAATAATAGTCCTAGCAAGCGGGCCCTAAGAATGGGGTTTGTGAGTTGAATCAGTGTCCAGCCAGAGGTGACAGGCAGAATATTGATAGTTTCTGGGGGCTCTAACAGTGCTGTTGACAAAACTTTTATCTGTAGAAAACTATAGATAGAGGGGAAGAGGTATCCAAGCTGACACAATTCTCCGGCATTTTATAAAGAGAAGTAGTGACTATAAGAACTGTGGATTTGGGTGGACATTGCTAAGTGTGATGAATGAATTGAAAAGAGTACATGACGGGCTTAAACCCATTAGTCAGCACCTACAGCAAAGAGACCCTCATGCTCTCAGCGGGAAGGTGGACAGTACGAAACGCCTGACACAGGCCCCAGTGTGAAGAATGGCAGAACTTCAGAGAAGACAGAATTCTAAGCTCAGTTGGGCCTCTTGTTCCAAAGTCAGGGCCCTGATATAGAAGGAGTGAAGCCCTGAAGCTCAGAATGGGGCTTTCTAGGTACTTGTACACGAAAACTCTGAATTTCAGGTGCCTCTGAACCCACTCGCATGCAAGAGTGTCCTGCCCCTTGTTGGAAGACGGAATATGCAGAGTTCTCTCAGCAAGCCCTTGGTGGGGCAGTGGGTGAGGGGATGGTTTCCAGGCTGACCAACATGTACCAGCAGGCTCCAGGGGATTGAGTGTGGGAGCGGATTCTGCGAGAAGAAAGGGAAATGTGGAACTGAAAAGGAAACATTGCTGATACAGGGGCACTCTCCTGTTCCACAGAGTTTAATTAGCGCCGAAAGGACCCAGGTGATGATTCTATGATGCTCCTGGGTGGCTCCTCAGAGCCTTGCTACAAAGCAAGGTGCACACCAGATGAAGTGGAAGTAGAGACACCAGACTTGCCAAGGCAGTCCACAGAAAAGGGGGATTCAAAGTCCCAGGGAAGATGGCATGGGTCTACTCTCAACAACTGGAAAACCCACCCTTCAGGTGACTTTGTACCTCAGGAGGCCTCAGAACACTAACTCAACACAGTGATGAAGAACACACTGCTGAGGGGCACCAGCATCACTGAGATTCTCAGCAGGAGCTGTTCTCTGTGGGTGTGAATAATGTAGGAATGTTTTACAGAATGGGATTCCCCCGTAACAAATGAGATGATAGGATTTCAGAATAAGAAAAGCAAGTGGCAGCATTTACTGTGAAAGCAGACAAATGTTTCTGTAATGGGCAGCAAGGGTAGAATGACAGTCAGGGGGCCCAGCCCATAGACGTCTGTGCAGATAGCTAAGAGGACATGATGGTCTTATTGGCAGGACAGATGGGCAGCCAACGGGATATTGCTTCATGTGTACCATCAGAAGAAATTAGAAATAGAAGAGCAGATGTCTGGGTCCAGCTACCCAAATGAAAGGTGAAGATCCCTCGCCCTGAACCATTGTTTTGTCTTGTTTTTAACCTAGAACCTGCTGTTGGGCATGAGGGCAGGTATCATAGGAAAGTGTACATGTAGAGATCCCCTCAGTTCTTCACCCAAAGGACCAGTGTCTATTTATGCAAGTAACCTTATTTCAGAGAATGGAAAATACACAGATTTTTCAAAAGTTGTTGAATATAGCATCTGATTTGATTCTACTCTGGGGACCAAAACCACCTTCATGGTTCCTAGTAGAGTAGAGTATATGCAGGTCCAATAATATGGAGACCCTCACAGCGGGTCCCTTTCCATCCACAGGCCAAGCTCTAACCACTTAGCAAACCAGCCAGGGCTGTGCTATGCAACTATTAATATGGAAAATGTACTTTAAAAATATCCAGTAGGAATTAGAGTGAGAAGCAGTTCATACACACACACACACACACACACACACACACATGTGTATACACACACACACACAAATGAACTTATTTGGAATTGGCTTCTGTGATTATGGAGGCTGAGAATTCCTATGATATACCATCTGCAAAACAGTGACACAATGAAGTTGAGGTGTAACTTTAGTTCAAATCTGAAGGCCCCAAAGCGAGATAGTATAAATCCCAAGATCAGGAGGAAACCCATGTCACAGCCCAACTAGGCAGGAAGAGAATACATCTTCCTTTTTCCACTTTGCATTCTGCTCGGGCTCTTACAGATGGATGGTGCCCACCCACTGCGGGGAGTGCAATCTGCTTCGCTGAGTCCACTGATTCAAATGCTGATCTCATCCAGAACCGTCCTCAAAGACACATCCAGAAATAATGTTTAACCTGGGCACCCCATGGCCCAGTCAAGATGACATGTAAAACTAATCATTGCAATGACAGTGTGTTAATTGGACCCGATGAACACACAGGGCTGAGTGTTCTGGTTGAGTCACGTGTACTCCGGATTTCAATAGATAAACCCCACATAGACTCGAAGGCATGCCGTACAGGTAAGTTGTTAGGGGTTCCATGTTCTGGAGCACATCAAGAAACCCTCTCCAAGCTATTGTACCTTCGTATACTACCACTAAGAAGCACAAAGCTTAGTGGGCTTCACCAGGTAGAAAGAATAACCATGGTTGACAATTTGGTGACAATTATTTTAGGCTTTGTAATGTGTGTGTCGGGCATTGGGGGGGGGGGGTGTTTTACCATGTTAATAATAATAAAGTGTGTTCTCACCAATGTTTCCCACTTCATGGTATATAATGAGCATTGTTACATGTCAATAAATATTATAGTGCTATATCGTCTCTATCAGAGCTTGTATTTTTCATCAAGCCTCAATTGCAGTTGGCTATTATTGGTTAAGGTTGGTGTTGTGAACAATGCTAATTTGTATGAAGGGTCAGCAGAGCCGAGTGTGTAAGTGCACACTCTGCAGTTAGCCCGTGAGGGTGGAGACCCAGCCTCTCCGTGGGCTGGCTGTGTGTCCTACCCTCCCCACGCACCAGTGTCACCTGCAAATGGACTTACTGGCAGTGCATAGCTCACTGGGTCACTGGGAGGATCATGAGTTAACACTTGTTATGCACTCAGAAAGGGCCCCGCCCTAAAAGCACTAAGTAAACACACAGAGAGTGCACAAACACCTTGTGTAAACAGGGCTCTTGGCCAGCGACAGCAGCACTGTCTAGGTGAGACAGAAAGGACTTCACTGATGAGAGGCACAGTGCGTCACAGAAAGGGCAGGAAGGATGGGTGCTGGGCCTGAAGCAGCCCGGGAACCAGGGCACCAGGAATAACGGGCCACCTTCTAAGGACGGCTGCAGCATGAATGTTTTGCAACTATTCTAATTCCTTAACGAACTTCCTCGGAGTCCGTCTCCGCAGAGTCCGACTGGCCTGGCTGGCTCGAGGGCCACCGCCTTGCTCAGTATCCCTCCACTCACGCCCACCGAGGGAAGAAGTCAAGCGCTGAAAGCAAAGCGGGGGCTGTTAGGGAAGGGGAGGGGGCTGGATGGCCAGGGGAAACAGACTGACCGAAGGAACCCACCCGGAGGACCCCCAGAGTGAGTCCGGGTGCCTAATGGGAAGAAAGGGGCGGTCCCAGGCCAGGCAGAGGGGCGCCAGAACCTGGGGACCCTTAAGGGAACAGTGTTCGCATGCCCTGTGCTGTGGAGATAAGGCTGAGCTGGTCACCGTGACAGGAGGAAGGGTTTCCACCCCACCCCACTGGACAGCCTAGGGCAAGGGAGGCCACTACGCCAGTCGTCCCCTCGGTCCATCTACCTGGACTCAGTACCAGCTGTTTCCTATGATGCTGGGGAGCCCAGCTGTGGCCCCACCTGGGGGAGTGTGGCT